GTTGTTGGTTCTGAACCCTCGCATGCCGTGTGTAGCGAGGAGGAGGAGGAGGAGGAGGGGGCGGGGCCAGGACGGCCCCCCTCGTAAACACCCCCCCCCCCGATCGCCGCCCCGCCTACTTTTTTGCCTTCATTTTTTTTCTCACGCTGCGCGGTTCACTCGTTGTTTTTTGGTTTTTTTAATCGAGTCGAGCATTGTTCGTTCTGTTTTTCTCTCTTTCTCGTATGTATCGCCGACGACGATGCATTCACGTGTTTTTCACATTCTTCGAGCGTTCGTTGAGATTGCGCGATTCACGGAGACGAAGTTGCTAGCGGAGCGGGAGCTGTGGCGCAGGGGTCGAAGGTCGTGAAAGGTCAGGTCAGATCATACGTGATGGGTCGCAAGATGTCAGGTCACGTGTGTCATTGAGGTCAGGGGTCTTACGTGTCATAGGTCGCAAAAGGTCAAGTCAGGTATGTCGGGGGTCACCAGATGTTATGCAGGCTAAAGAGCAGACAGTCACTCAGGCAGGAAGGCCAGAGGTCAGAGGTCAGGAGAGAGGTCAAGAGATGTCCAGCCAGATGTATATCATGATAAGTTAAACTTAGTAGGTTCGGTAAAAGTTAAGTTCATGTATGACAGGGTCAGGAAGGGTCGGGTCAGGTATGTCAGTGTATTATAGATTATACAAAACTTTGTTATTATTATAAACGTAAATTATCATTTTACATATGTATACTTTTTGTATAAAACTTATTTATCAACAACATGTATATATAGGAATTACAAAAGGTGGGGCCAGATCTATCTGGGGCCAAGTTTACATAGCCATGGGTCATGTTTTATTCTAAAAATTGGTGGTACTGGTCTATATATATATATATATTATATATATGTAGAGATATAGCTATAGATAGATAGGTAGGTAGATGGATAGATAGATAGAACCGATGGATCGATCGATCGATAGATAGATAGCTATGTAGACATTAAGAGCAATAGCGAATACAGGTGGGGGCTGTAAAGAATGTAGATCCGCCGTTGATAGAGGAAAAGTAGTGCGTCCGCGTATCGCGCCGCCGCTCCCGCTCCCGTCACGATTTTCGCGATTCTCAATGTTTTATCTTTGCTGCTGCCGCTGCCGCTGCTGTTTTTTAACACGTTTTTTTTCCACACGCACCGTCGTCGCCTCGCCACCGCAGGAACTGATGAAGGTCAGTTAACCCTGTCGAGTCTCCGCGCCGCGTTCCGGAGCCGTCTAACGCCGCACGCGACCGCCAGGGGGCGCCGTGCCGAACGCCCGTCGTGAGCGGTTCACGCTCGACGTTCGGGTAGTGCGGCGGTCGCCGCGGTTTGACCTCGGCGTGACCCCGTCGCCGGCGGCGATGGATGGCGATGGAACGGTCGGCGTGGCAACGCGTCGCGATAGACGGGCGCCGCTTCTCGGCGGAGCTCTAGGATTTTTGGGATTTTTCGAGCGATTTTTTTGTTTTTTCTTTTTCTAGTGCGAGCAGAATTTTTCGCACATATTTCACCCTAGATGGCGCTCTGAGCGCTTCAGAAGGTTTGCTGTCTGCGTCATAGAGGTTGTAGTCATGGCAACGGCCAGGACAGCGGCTCCGACGTCCGTTCAGTGCTAGACATCCCCTTTCCCTGTCCCAGCATCCTTCCCCACCAGCTCTCTCTCTCCCTCCTCTCCCTCACTCTCCCTCCCTCCTTCACTCTCTCTTCCTCTGCCCCACACTTTCCCTCACTCTCCCTCTCTTTCCCTCTCTTCCTCTCTCTCTCTCTCTTCCTCTCTCTCCCTCTGTCCCTCCCTCTTCCTCTGTACCTCCTCCACACGCGCCCACTCACACCACGCGCCGCGCCCTCCTTGGCTGTCGGCCCGTCGCGGCTACCGCATGGTGGCGCCACCGTACGTACATCGGATTTATTTAGCTGCGAGGATTCTTTTGTTAATTTCGCTTGGCTCCCCTTCCTCCGCGCGCGAGCGGGGGAGGAGGGCGAACGGTGTTTGCTTTCGTGACGGTAGCGCGGGGCGCTAGAGATGCCCCGACTCTCACGTGTTAGTGGATCGAGTGGCGCGTGTGTGTACTAACGAAAGCTGCTGGTAGTGAATGTGGTGTGGTAGGTAGCGCTGCAAGCTGCTGCTCTCTCTCTCTCTCTCTCTCTCACTCCCTCTCTCCCCCTCCCCCTCTCTCTCTCTCACTCTGTCTTCCTCCCCCCTCTCTCTCCCCCTCCCTCCTCGCTCTCTCCCTCTCTCTCTCTCTCTCGCTCTCTCGGTGTGTGAGCCTCTCTCTCCATTCCCTGTTCTATCATGCCTGTTGACCACATTGTGACCAGTGACCCACACGTTAGCCTTCCTCTTCGGTCTGTGTCCCAGCCCCTAACCCTATTCTCTAACCCCCATCCCCCGGCCCTGCCCCTTGCCCTGCCCTGCCCCATCCCCCGGCCCTGTCCCTTGCCCTGCCCTCGCCCCATCCCTTCCCTGCCCCATCCCCCGGCCCTGTCCCTTGCC